GATGATATGGTACGCAACTCAAGAAATAGCATATTATTTGAAGGGCTAAACCGTATATGGAGTTTGTTAAAGCTTAGGAAGAAAGCAAGTTTCAAACCCTATCCTACATACCAATTATCTGATCCAAAAAAAAAAAAGTACCCTACGTATGGGGTTTTTTTTTGGTGCATTTTATTTTCTTTTTATTCCAACTGATTGTGGGTTTTAAGAACTAGATTGCTCCTTATATATATTATTTTGTTCGTAGCTAGGTAATTCAAAGCCATATGAAAATCCAAAAACCCCTCTTGCAAAGTTCTTAAGAGATGACAATTAGGATTCATAAAAGACTCTTAGATCTCTATTCACCATGATCATGAGGAACTCCTGGTGTACATGTCTTCTACTGTGACTTAAGATTAAGGGGGTAAAGTGATAATAACCCTTAACAAAACTGTAAATGTGTGTATCACTTGAATATGTAAATTTATGGATATGTAATTTTACTCTTGATTGACAGCGAAAAATATTAGCCATGTGAAACATTGATAATTAATTGACTCAATTCTAAGAGATCTAACTTAATATCAAACACAACTGGTTAATACCACGCATAATAGGTCCAATGGGCTAAGTTAGGAAAAGGGTAAAATACAGTAAATCTTGTGTTTTTAGGGAAAGACAGGTGATCATCTTATTGTTTTGAAATATTCATAAGACTCTCTCTTGCTTTTAACTAATTTGGAAAATCGATGGAATTTGTTCAAATTGATAGAAACATCTTAAATTTTTTATACTACCTCCGTTTGGATTGGCCTATTTTTCAAAAAGTAGTTTTTCAAATATAATGTTATAGTAATGCATAAAAAAAAATAACTCCAAAAACATATCATTCATACAATATATCAAAAACAACTTACAAATATATACAAAAAATTTAAAAAAATTCTACAACATTTTTCACCTATCACTACCACCTACCACCGCCACCACCTCCTCCCCTTGCCCCTCACCCCTTGGCCAGCTCCTCCCCCCTCGATCTGGTTAGATCGAGGCCTCCGACTACGACCAAAAGCTGTGATCTTGTCACAGCCAGATGGTGACCAAAAGGTCGCAACTTTCCAGTCGCAATTTGGGCGCAACTAGATCCATAAAGGGGAGGGGAGGGCCACTACAAGAAAAACTGCTTATAGAGGCGCATCAAAATGTCACAAGTCACGCTTTATTGAGGCACTTAATATATTAAGGCACATACTTAGTGTGCCATGTAAAACCTATGTCACAAAAGCTTTTTAAGGCACAATTAAGTGCCACGACACAGGAAACAATTCAGACATTTAGAAGTGCCAACACAAGGTTATAATGGTTACACCAAAAAATGCCTTAATTGGGATTCAACTTTCAAGAACTCAACTTTTTAGAGGCACAAAACAATGTCATCTTAACTTTAAGTTGACACTTAAAAATGCCTTAACAGTCCGTTCTTGAGATAGTAGTATTTGTCACAAAATGGTTGTTATTGAGGCATGCAAGTATGCCACTATATAGCTTAATGTAGATACTGGCAAATGCCTCTATATCAACCTTTAAAAGTGTTTTAAAATGCCTCAAAAACCTGCTGTGTAACAAGAAAATTTCTACTACGAAAAACCCTTATCGTGACACTTTCAAGTGCCTCAATAGGCTGGAATTTTTTTTTCTTTTTTATGCCCAGCCACAGGTACTGCTGTGAATATAACATTCCTATTGTGTCAATATAATCGTACATTCATATTCGACATCTCACATTCAATGACCAAAATCAGCAATATTTGATTGAAAATCCACTTTCAAATTATCACCATAACCAATTATTACAATTAAAGTACTTATAACTCCTAGTACTCTTCCAACCAACCAATTAAACTTTCATCCTTGCAAAAAAAAACATAATATTTGTTTTTACATTAATCAAACAGCTAGAATGTCCTACTAATTGTTTGCCACGATTTCACCTAAATAGCACTAGATAAATTAAAATCAACTAAACCACTAGTAGACCAACTTCTTGTAATATGTGCAGCAACACTTTGTCCTTTTACAGTTAGAGCACTTCCATATAAGTGGATAAGTATCCATATGCTGCAACACCTTGTCCACTTTTGAATTTCAGCACATCAATCTTCGCAAATTTTTACCTATAGCATAAGTATATTATGTATTAAAATCTATCATAATTATCAAATGAAACAAACATATGAGATATTAACAGTTAACATAATTTGAAAGCTAGAAAAGGAAAAACATACTAGTTTTGTTGGCCAAGCTATAGGAGCACCAATTGAATCAGCAATTGTTTGCAAAGGCACATAAGGCCTAATCAAATGCTCATCACGTTCAACCACAACTTGAACTAGCACTTCACACCAATTCGAACCTAGTGGTTGGCCCCCAACTATTGTAGAAGGATCAAGGGATTGAAGCCGTCCAATTGCCACAACTTTTGTTGGCTCATCTAAGCTAAAAAGAGAAATCCAGTCTCCCTCCTACATGAAAATGCAAAACTCGAAACATCAGAAAACAAACCATATGCAAAGCAGTCACATCAAAATTCCAGTCCATGTTGTGTAGTAAGTAACATTATAGTAAGAAAACTATGAATCATACTTCTACAAAAGTCCACAACTACTCAAGAGTAACATGTAACAAATATAAAAATAACTAAACTAAAATTGCTTTCAAACTGTAATAGCAAAACATATCTACATGGTCGGACCATTTCAAGGAAATCCCTTTCAAGCAAAACAGCAAAAGTGTTACTAATGTTGATACAGCCAGCAGCGCATATCAAATGTCTATCGAATAGCCTTTGGGATACTCAGTTAGCATATTTCCATCAACTCTACGCTTCAGTCAGATTGGAGAAATTAAAAGCTTCAACATTACAGTTCAAGTAATAAACACAGCACAGAGAAATGTAATCTTTGGTCAGCATCATCTTAGTAATCTTTGGTCATTCATGCAAAGAGTAACATGAGATAAAAATAAAAATAAATAAACTAAAATTGCTTTCATATTGTAATACCACAACATGCCTAAATATCAAATCATTATCAAGCAAAGAGGACTGGCATTACCGAACAAATATATTAAAAAACTTACTTTAAGAGGTCTAAGACTGGAACTTGAGGTTGAGATATGATTAGATGATGTTGAAGTGATTCTTGATTGATTCAGCAAGTTATGACCATTTTGTTGCTCTAAATAAGCTTTCAGGTTAGCAAGTTCTCTTGCTTGATCTTTAATTTGTTCCTCTTGCTGAGCAAATTTTGCCTTCATCTCTAATATTTCATGTTTTTTATCCAACACTAGTCGCTGAGATCCACTTCGACTAGGTTCATCACCCCACACATCAGTTGGACATATACCAAAACCATACATCCGTACATGCCCATGCTTGTCTTGCCCAACTACTTGTGCAAATACATCATTTTTTCCAATAGGATCTTCAGTATCAGGAGGCAATTGACTAACCTTTTCATTCATTGCAAGCTGCAAAAGTGTAAAGAGTAAGACAATGATTACATTTGTACAATCCTAATATAGATTAGAAAATAATGGATAGATCTTTCTAATATATTTTAAAGCAAGTAAACAGCATAATGAAAGATTTTACTTACCATAATATTAGCTGCTGCACTACTAGATGGGTTTCCTTTGTTATCAGTGTAGCAGTGATTGAACATTTCAACTCGTGAAGGATTGCGGCCTAATTTTTTCTTCTGTATCAAAAAGAATTTTTGTTTAAACAAATTGAAATAATATTAAATAAAGCATAATAGAATAGCCAGAAATGTTTACCATGTTTGTTCGAATCTGGGCAAATGATTTCTTCCCGGTATTATGATTCGTGGTCTTCATTGCCCTTGCATTTTTATTTTTTTCACTAGTTTTCTATATCACATACAAATAATTTAGAAATAACTCTAAAATACTGATATACTATTACATAAAGGGAATATACATATACCTTTGTTTCTTCTAACTCCCAATAATCAGCAATGACTTTATATTGATCTTTTACCACTCTCACATCTAAATTGAGCATTTGAGTTTCAACTTGTATATTTGGCTTGTAGTATGTTGCTTTAATCCATGCCTTCCAATTCCTCCAATACTTGCCCAAAGCACGAAGAATCCAAATTTTTGCACTGGGAGGGACATCAAATTTTTCCTACAATATATTTCATGTGCTTAGATTCCACCCATCATATCATAAATAACTAACAAATATTGATACAAGTATTAACTGATTTAAGCTTTATTACCTTGACAATCTTTAACATGTCTTTCTTCCGAGAATTGTCAATTTTTCGCCAATCTTGGACGTCAATTGGGGCATATGAACCATTTCTTGATATTGTACCCAAGAACTCTGTAAATCTTGATTTATTTTTGCCCACTGGTTTGCCAAGTTTGTTGAATTTAACTTTATAACGATGAGATGTAGGCTGACCCCAAACACTTGTCATAGATGTTGGCCCTCGTGTTTTTTTTGCCTCCATATCACCATCAGTCTCATCATCTAAAAAAATAAGAACAATATTTATTAGTGTATATGCAATAATATACTTAAAAATCTCAAATGCTCTTGCTAATACCTGTATTCTGAAGCTCTTCCACTCTTATAGACTGATTTTCCATATGCTCATCAATTGGTTCATCAATAAGTCGGCTGCTGCTGGAATTTCTTCGTTTCTTAGTCCTAGCCATGTCTGAACAACAAACTCAATTCATGTAACATTTAGTCAATTTAATAAAGTTAATAAACTACAACTAAAATTCAGCACTTGCAATGTAAAAATGAAACTTCAGCAAGTAAGAAGAAATAAATAAATAACTAAACAACATTACTAGCTAAGTAAACAGCATCTTGTTCCAAAATTATAACATGGTACATCAATATTAGGCATAGCCAGAGATAATTTGATAAGTCTACATGCAACAAATTAATAAAACATAGAATCTACAGTGGAAGCATATCATGAATTTGGCCTAATTGGAATCAATCCGACTCCTTGAACATCATCACGGATGTAGCTAACATCTCCATTGTCATCTTCCAACTGTATGTTTGAAATTGGACTTTGCAAGTACATGTCCACATCACCCACATGATCCATGTTGTACTCAGCTCTTGGTCTTGTGGTGATAACAACATGCCACCCATTTTCAAGAGGATCTTCCACATAAAATACTTGTGATGCTTGAACAGCAAGAATATAAGGTTCATTGTGCCGCTTTACATTCGAAAAGTTCGCTAACATGAACCCATCCTCATCTTGCTTTAGCCTTTTTCCTTTGGAGACCCAATCACATTCAAATAACAACACTTTTCAACCTTCTCTGTAGTCTAACTCAATGATGTTAGTCAAAATTCCATAATAATCCAAATCACTCAAAATTGGATTATTATCTTTTGCACTTGCAAAACTCGAGGTTGTGGCATTAACCATGACTCCACTATTTTGTGTTTTTCTTTTTTTCTCCAACTCTCTTGTATGAAATTGAAAACCATTGACAAGCAGTCCTTTGTATTGTATCCCAACAATATTTGGACCCTTAGCAAGCTGCTTCAAATCCATAAGTAATGTATCTCCCTTGCACTCTATATTGTGCTCAATCTGTATTACATATAAGAACATTAGAGACAAATTTGTAGTACAAAAACAGCTAATAACTAGCAATGTTTAATAACATACATGATTGGCAAACCAAGATGCAAAATTCTCACTATGCATGAGTTCAATAACATGTTTTCCAGCTCGGGGATTCCTTTCTTGAATCAATTGATAATGCTGGCTGCAATTACAATATTCAATGAGCTCTAGATAACTTTGAATAGGACATTTTTGAAATATTATTTACTTACTTGATATAGGGATTGACATGGTCACAATTGAATAGGACATATTGATGTGCTTTTCTCAAAATCTCATCGCTGAATTTAGTGGGAATTCCTTTGCCTAATGGACGAGTTGACATTGAGAACAAATCCAGTCCAGTTGAAGAACTTTTAGCGACCTCTTCATTTCTGTTTGATCGATTCAATTTTGTCTCCACATAATCAGCCAAGAAAAATGAACAAAATGTCAAGCACTCTTTTGCTATATACCCTTCAGCAATGCAACCTTCTGGTCGACTTTTGTTTCGAACATAAGACTTCAAGGTGCCCAAGTACCTTAGAAGAAATATGATATCATAAGACTTCAAGGTGCCCAAATAAATAAATAAATATTAAGATTATTAATTTAATTCAGAACACATACCTTTCAATAGGATACATCCAGCGATAATGGACTGGCCCTCCAATTTTTGCCTCGGTGGCCAAATGGATAGATAAATGCACCATGGTAACAAAAAAAGATGGTGGAAAGATTCTCTCGAGTTGACAAAGTATAATAGCAATCTCCTTCTCCATGTGGACTAAATCTTCAGCACAAAGGACTTTAGAGCACAACTTTCGAAAGTACCTACTCAATTTAATCAATGGAGAGCGGACTGCCTTCGATAATGTTTTTCTCAAAGCTATTGGCAACAACTGCTGCATCAAAATATGGTTATCATGGCTCTTAAGTCCATAAATTTTGGGCGGCTTCACTTTCACACATCTAGATATATTAGCTGCATACCCGTCCGGTACCTTCACTTTTTTTAGCACTTTACAGAAAATTTCTTTTTCCTTCCTGTCCATTGTAAAGCAGGCTGGAGGCAAATAAAATCTACCATTTTCTTTCTCAACTGGATGAAGTTCCGGCCTTATACCCATGTCACGTAAATCACAGCGTGCAGTATAATCATCCTTATTTTTATCCAGATTCAACAATGTCCCAACAATGCAATCACAAATATTCTTTTCAATATGCATGACATCCAAATTATGACGAATTAAATTATCCTTCCAATAAGGAAGATCAAAGAAAATGCTCAACTTTTTCCAACTGAATGGCAATGTTGGATTATCATCAACTAATTTTCCAAATCTGATTTGAAAATTTTTCAATTCAGATAAAATTGTAGACCCCATCAAATTTTCAGGAGCTCTCCCATGTTCTTCCTTTCCATTAAAAGCTCGAGAATTCTTCCTAAAAGTATGAGCCGGATCCAAAAATTTTCTATGGCCCATATAACAATCCTTATGCCTTAACCGTTGTGAAGTTGTGTGTTTATGACAAACAGGGCATGCATATTTTCCTTTAGTACTCCAACCGGATAAAACTGCATAGCCAGGAAAATCACTGATAGTCCATAATAATGCTGCTCTTAATTGAAAGTTTTGTTTGCAAGATGCATCATATGTATTGATCCCCATCTCCCACAATTCTTTCAATTATTTGATTAGAGGTTGTAAATATACATCAATATCATTACCAGGAGCATGTGGACCTGGTATCAACAATGACAACATTAAATATGGCTGTTTCATACACATCCAAGGCGGTAAATTATAAGGTATCAAAATCACCGGCCATGTACTATGAGTGGAGCTCATACTTTTGAATGGATTAAATCCATCGGAAGCCAATCCCAACCTAACATTACGAGGATCCTTAGAAAAATCTGTATGCTGATAATCGAAAGTTTTCCAAGCTGGGGAATCAGCAGGGTGTCTCATATAACCATCCTTAGTACGACCCTCCGAGTGCCATCTCATATGCTTTGCAGTTTTAGATGACATAAATAAACGTTGCAACCTGGGTTTTAGTGGAAAATGCCATAAAACCTTACGTGCGACTTTTCTTTTCTCACCGGATGGATCATTTTCTGATGCTTCCCATCTAAGTTCTTTGCATGTTTCACAACAAGTTCTTTTTGCATTTACCCCCCAATACAAAGTGCAATCATTAGGACAAGCATCATACTTTTCATATCCAAGTCCTAATTCTTTCATTAATTTTTCAGACTCATAGTAAGATTTAGGCAATTTTTCCATGGCTTCAGGAAATGCTTCTCTTAACAAATCAAGAAGCATATCAAATATTTTGTTACTCCATTTACCCAGACACTTCAAGTGAAGCAAGCGAATTATGAACGAAAGCTTGGAAAAATTTTTACAACCAGGGTAGAGTTCTTGTTGAGAATCATCAATTAACTTATAAAACTTTTCAGCAACTGAATTCGGTAGTTCCTGATTAGATTCAAATATACCAGCCATAGCAGGATCTTGTTGAGATATTCCTAAGGCTTCATGAACTAGACCATTCATGTCATCACATATATCAGATACGTTATGAGGAACATTGTCTGAGGTCTGTATCGGTGCAGAAGAGTATACAAATTCCCCGTGAGCTACCCACTGTGTGTATCCCTTAAGAAATCCAAACACCTTCAAATGAATTTTTGCATCTGCCCTAGACACACATACTCCACATTTACATTCTGAACATGGACAAGCAATCATTCCATTCCCATGACTTGAATGCTTAAATGCATAGTTTAAGAATAATTCCAAACCCTTTTCAAATTCACCACTTCTTCTATCTTTCCACATCCAACTCTTATCCATATTATTAGAGTTATCAAATATTTACTCATCAAACAACATAAAGGAGTGTCAATGAGTGAGTACCTGAAATAATGCATTTTATATGAGATAACAGCTAAAATAACCAATAATTTTGTAATTTATTGCAAGATAGATTAAATTAGACTTAAATACTCAATTTCATATCAGCAAACCTTTGTAATGTATGAACACTTTTAATAGTAAAATTCAAATAATAAATTACCAACTGCTATATTCAAAAGCAAATTAGAACAAGACTAATCAGGCATGTGAACGTATAAAATTAGACCAATAAAGGAATGTACCTGCTCAAGAGTGCCAAAGTCTAGCACTTTTCGTCCGTCAAATACTTACCAGCAAATATAAACCTGTCCAAAACAAAGTAAAAGCAACTACCTTGAGTAAATTTTAAAATAGGACCTATTGCATTTTTACACCAATTGCTTAAGCTTTTAACAAATTATAATAGAGGTCTTAATTACGGTTTAGAAAAGAGGAAAACAGAAAGAAATTGAAAAAAGTAAAAGAAAATACTAGCACTTACTTCTCCCCGTTCCCCTTTAGGATTCTTTAGATTGATTAATCCATTTCTTAGGTCGATTTAATCAAACAAATACAGAATTAAAAAAATTCATTGCATCTGTTGCCTTGGCTATTATTTCATATGTTTAACGGTGCTGCAACTAGTGAGAGCTAGTGAGCTACAAATATCAGAGCTAGTGATTATCTCTGAGATTGGGAGAAATCAAAAGAAAAGAGATTGGGAGGATAGAGAGCTAGTGAGAGCTACAAACTGATTGTTAAAGAAGAGTAAACTATCATCAACATAAATTTCTAGAGACATCTTAAGTTTACTTTGAAAACCAACATCATGGCAACCAACATAAATGGATCGTTAAATATGCGCAAAATAAGCCACTTGGAAACCAAAAATGATCAATTATCTTCGACATTCATCTTATCCGAGAAAAAACTTTCAGAAGCACATAAATGAAAATATATTCTAATTCATAAACCAAAATGAATTATGATAGTTTGATGCTTTCATATCTAGCAATAGCATTTCTTGATTACGGATGGCCTTATTCACCCTGCGTAGCTGTAAAATATCAGTTCCATAAATATAACCAATCCATATTCCAAAATTTTGTACCTCACATCATATCCCTGTTTTCAGTTTCTCAAGAAAATAAATAATCGTGTTCCTGAATTGTATTACCAAACTTGATAGAAATTGAGAGAGACAGTTCCCGACAGGAAGACAAAAAAGAGACAGAAACAACCACAAATTCTGACATGGAACCCAAAAACAACAAACTCAAACAGAACTAAGTAAACCATCTTGATATCATGATTGAATGACTGACCTCAATTTTGGAAAGATCGAAGCTTTGGGGAGATAGTTTGAGAGAAGAGGACCGAGAGAGAGTAAGTGCGGGAAAGAGATGGGTCAATGAAAAATGAAAGTTTTGGAGATGGTAGATTGGTAGAGGACCGAGAGGGAGAGTGAGGGAGAAAGACCGGCATTTGTGATTTGGGATTTGGGATTTGGGACAATTTTGCCGCTGCTCTTAGGCGCCAATTTGGAGCATTTTTCTGTTTTTTCATGAAACAATTTGCCGCTTCTTTTCGTGGATAATTTGGGATTGTTTTTCCTTCTATTAGTTGTTGAGGCACATCTCTAAAATGCCTCTACAAATTTTTTCTTTATATTCTTTTATTTTCAGTTTTTCTTATAAGATTTGTCCCTTATACATTGTCTTTTTTTATTTAATTAATAAGTGTTAGTATGGCAAAAACTACCTAATGCCTTAATAAGTGTTTATTTGAGGCATTTGCTTAATAGTGCCCTAACAAGTATGCCATAATAGGGAAATTTTCTTGTAGTGGAGGGATGGGGGTATAAGGGAAGGGAAGAAGGAAGAGTGAATGGGAAGGGGAGGAGAAAGGAGAGGGGTGGCTGCAGCGGGAGGTGGTGATGGTGGTTAGGTATGGTAGTATTAATTTTTAAAAAGTACCATAAAAATAAGAGTAAATCTTCTATATACTAACAGTGTATACACTATCATCGTTTGATTCATGACATGTGTGCAAAATTTAAATTTCAAATTCAAATTTTGCATAGTTGTCATTCATCCAATACTGATAGTGTATACACTGTCGGTGTAGGAAAGATTAATCCTACAAATAATTTAATTTTTAAAATTACCCCAAAATATATTTCAAAAATCCCTCCAAAAATATCACAAAAAACATATTTATAGTAAAAATTTTTCATATATACTGTTACAATAAAATATTTCAAAAACACTAAAGCCATTGTGAAAAGTCAATTGTCTTTGAGCAACAAAGTCAATTGTTCCACTAAGCCTCACCATAGCCATTGTGAAAATTAGAACCAACGACCATTGCCACTCTTTACTATCAATTCCCACTACCACTACTCCTCTAACCATAAGGGTTGTTTTTTCATGTGGACATTTCTGAACCATAGAGGGACTGGCTATTTTTCCACGAAATCAGAGGAGATTTACTGTATTTTATCCTTAGAAAAATTGGAGTCCATTGAAGAATCTTATTAGAAATAATATATGTGTCGGATTGTCATGCATCATCCTAGCCGAAACCTTGCCAATCTTGCATGTGAGGTACTATTCATGCCTGACCATTATTTTATACGTCCAATACAAAACTTGAATTTAAGATTATTATTATTCTTGCCATTGTAGATTGAACAATGAAAATCAATTAATAGTCTAAATCAGGGCAGGCCTACTGATGTGGCTTAAAATGAATAGTTTTAAAAAAAATTTTGAAATATAAGTTTGAGTGTGCTTATTACATAGTGCTCTCTTTTGCCAAAGCACTATTTAGCCTCAATGAAGAGGCATCTGTTAAATTTTATTCTTATTGTGCCATTTCTTGTTTCGCCTTTGCTGCTGCCCATTTTTATACTTTTTTTTTTTTTACTATTATATTCATTTTCTACCTCTTTACTGATCCTTTTTCTCTTATTGAAAAGTCTTGTATGACCATATTCTCAATTCAATTAGCTGTCAATTATTTCCCTTTTTGTTTTTCCAATTTGACGATCAAAGTTAACGAGAAAACTAACATCTCATATTACCGAGTATCCTTCTTTTCTTTTTAAAATCTTAAGGGAAAGCTTCACTCCAAAAACTGGGATAAAATGTTTATTACTACATACATAAGGTACTAATACGAGAGTTTGCATTGCTCAGGGGTCTTTTGTGTAATTTACCCTAAATCTTTGGCGCCTTTTTTTCAAATCTGCATCTAGTTTTACATTTTCTTTAACACTAGAAAGGACTTGAAAGAAACGACGTAGTTTAGAACCGATCCAATTTGTATTGTTTTAGGCTTTTAGCTTTGGGAGGGTTTCTCGTTTGAACATCGAAGGATTTAAGCTTCCAATTTCCCAATTTCTAGGGTTTCATTCTCGCAAATTCCAATCCATTCCTTCCTTCAGAAAGGTAACAATTCTACCCCCTGGCTTGCTGCTATTCTCGTAGGATTAAGGATTTTCAATTTTCCCAAGAATTCACAATGGTGGTCAGATTCTGGATTTGTGTCTATTTGCCCTAATTTCGTGATTTCGTATCTGTGAAATTGTAAAACTTGTGAGAGAATGGAAAGGGGGAAAATGACTTCAGACCAGGTCGTTGCTGAATTGATTGGCATGGGTTTCGAGTTTGACGATGTAAAAGAAGCCATTAAGGCCGTAGGTCCATCTTTGGATGACGCAGTTGAGTTTATCTTAAATGGTTGTTGTAGAAAGAGTAGAAATGTATTGGGTAGTTCTACAAGTTCTCTGGGTGGCAGCACAAGCAGCAAGAAATCTGCTGGTAAAATGCGGCAGTTAAGCATCATTGAGCACTTACAATGTGGACGTAAACCTAATAAAAGTAGCAAGTTCACCAATGAACCTCACTTAGTCATGCCTAGCTCAGAGAGATTGCTTGGGACTGCATTAGGATCGAAAGAATCTCTTCCGGAGACTTCGAATGCAATAATACCATGTTACAAAGATGAAGATGACATTGGTCGGTCAGATTGGGAAATGGAAGTTAAACATATACTAAAGAAGCATTTTGGTCATTCATTTTTGAAGCCTTTTCAGAAGGAAGCTCTGGCAGCTTGGATAGCTCATAAAGACTCGCTTGTTCTTGCAGCAACAGGATCAGGTTGCTAATTTTATTATGTCTGTTCCCTGCACACTATCATCTTGAAGAAAGTGAATTTCTTGGGATCTAAGATGGCTATGTTAATGCAGGGAAGTCTTTGTGTTTTCAGATCCCGGCGTTATTAACAGGGAAGGTGGTGGTTGTTATTTCACCACTAATAAGCTTGATGCATGATCAATGCTTGATGCTTGCAAAACATGGTGTGTCGGCTTGCTTCCTTGGATCTGGTCAAATTGATAAGAGTGTTGAAGAGAAAGCAATGAATGGCATATATGGAATTATCTATGTCTGCCCAGAGACAGTACTGAGGTAAAATGTTGTGGTGTTTCATTTGACAAGTTTGTTTTGGTGATGGTGTATAGCAATTCTTTGACTGATTAAGTTTTCTGAAATTTATCGCAGACTAATAAGATCACTTCAGAGGCTTGCAGAAAGCCGTGGAATTGCACTGTTTGCAATTGATGAAGTGCATTGTGTTTCTAAATGGGGACATGATTTTCGACCTGACTACAGGTTTATATTCTTTATACAATTTTACATTGTTGCTTAAACATGGACAACTTAAATAATTTGGTTGCTTTCTGATAATTGCAAAAAAAAAAAAGCTGTTAAAAATTAATGATCCCAATTTACTCTACGACTGCACCATTTATATAAGGAGGTTCAAAGTGTATGGGATTAGGATACTTGATGAAAGCAGTTGGGAAAGTACAAGTCATGCAATTTGGTCCTACTCAAGGTCCTCTACATCCCCTTTGCTGGTTTATGTTCTGAACATTTTCAACCTGATGAAGG